CTTTTTCTTTTTTTTTTGCTGGTCATGGGGCCTGAACTCTGGGCCTGGGCACTGTCCCTCAGCTCTTCAGCTCAAGGCAAGTGCCCTACTATTTGAGCCACAGCGCCACTTCTGGCTTCTTTTGCTTATGTGGTGCTGAGGAATTGAACCCAGGGCCTCATGCATGCAAGGCAAGCGCTCTACCACTGAGCCAACTTCCTAGCCCCTGTGTGTGATCTTGAGGTGGTCTCTCCCCCTCACCCCACAGTTTAGTTCTGACCCGCAGTAGGTGTCCATGGAATGCTAACCCTGGTGACCAGCAGGTGGCCCTACACCCAGATTAACCTGTCTCCCTGCCTACTGACCACTCTGTTTTGTTTTCTTTTGGTTGGTCATGGGCTTGAACTCAGGGTCTAGGCACCATCCCTGGGCTCTTCTACTCCAGGCTAGCGCTCGACCACTTGAGCCACAACACCACTTCCCATTTTTTTCTGTGTATGTGGTACCGAGGGAACTGAACCCAGGGCTTCATTCATGCTTGGTGAGCACTCTACCACCAAGCCACGTTCCCAGCCCTTATTAACTACTCTTGAGTCCCAGGAAATATTCCCTTGAGTCACCAGCCACACAAACACAACTAAGGCCTAAAAAAGTACCTGATCTACAGACCACAAAACGTTCATTACAGTCCATTACCTGATAGCAACAAGGGTGCTGGGACAACCTTGTCCTATTGATCATACTTGACAGATGGAAACCTCAAAAAGGAGACTTAGTTAAGCCGAGCCTGGCAGTGCATGCCTATGATCCCAGATACTCAGGAGGCAGAGATAGAAGAATCAGCAGTGTGAGGTCAACCTAGGAAACATTACACCCTATCTCAACAAAACAAAATATGAACAACAACAAAAAGACTGAAGGTATGGCTTGACTGGTAGAACATTTGCCTAGCATGTGTGAGGCCCTGGGTTTAGCCTCTATCTAGCACTATTAAAAAAAAAAAATCATCAGAGCCAGGCGCTGGTGGCACATGCCTGTCAGCCTAGCTACTCAGAAGGCTGAGATCTGAGGATCATGGTTCAAAGGGAGCCCCAGCAAGAATGTCTGTGAGACTTTTATCTCCAATGAACCACCAGAAAACCAGAAGTGGTGCTGTGGCTCAAGGGTAGAGCACTTGCCTTGAGCTGAAGAGCTGAGGGACAGTGCCCAGGCCCAGAGTTCAAGCCTCATGACCCACCAAACACACACACACACACACACACACACACACACACACACACACACACACACACACACACACACACACACACACACACACACACACACACACACACACACACACACACACACACCAGAGCTCTCTTGACCAAGGTTGTGATAAACCAAAGTTCAGGTCTTCTAGTTCTAAATGATCACCATCCCTCCCCATACACAAGGGGCTGGAGGTGGTGAGGATTTGGACTTCCCACACACTGACTTTTGCTTTCCAAGTGGTAAACAGGCAGGCTTTCTCAGTATAGCAGAAGACATTTAGGCTTCGGGGTTGAAGGGCATCTGGACCCACCCAAGGCAGTAGAGCTCAGCCTAAGGGAACCAGGTCTGGATGCATGGGATCTATTCTCCTCCCCTTCTCCCAGACTTGCCTGCTAGGGAGAGAGTTTCAAACTGGTCTAAAACACTGAGATCCCATGCAGAGGCTGCAGCAGGATGCATTTTGAGGCTCAATTCCGATGCTGCAGTAGAGAGAGAGAGGGTGGAGAGGGGCTGGGATAGAATAGCAATGAGCCGGACTGCTGGAAGCCGGCCAGACTCAGGTTCTGAGGCTGCCCTCGCTCTCTCTCCCTCCCTCCCCTGGCCCCTCACACACACACAGACACATACACACACCCACAGACATAAAGACATACACCTATCATGTTCATACCCTCTGTTGAACTCTCTATTGAAAGCTCTCAAGGAAAGCAGGACAGAGCCCATATAAGGGCCTGAACATCTGGATTAGCTGATGGAAATACATGGCCACCTGGCTTTTTTTTTTTTGGTTGGTTATAGGGTCTGAACTCTGGGCCTGAGCGCTGTCCCTGAGCTCTTCAGCTCAAGGCGAGCACTCTACCACTTGGGCCACAGCACCACTTCTGGCTTTTTCGGCTTCTGTGGTACTGAGGAATCGAACCCAGGGCCTCATGCATGCAAGGCAATCACTCTACCACTGAGCCACCTTTCCAGCCCCCTACCTGGTTTCTTAGCTTACCTGATACCATTTCATTGACTAAGATTTTCTCCCATTGCTGAGAGAGTTGTTCAGAGGCCCAGCTAGCAGCTTCCCTTAGGTAGGCACCCAACCTTCTGGTCTGGCCTAATAATTCTATCTAGGACCAGATCAGAGGGCCCAAACCTGGGCTAGACTTGGTACTGAGCCAGATTCTTCCCATCCCCACCCTTGAGTTATGTAGTTTGCTGACTACATTAGAGATGGAGTCGAGTGGATTCCCTCTGTACTGTGTGATCTTCGAGATCTCACCCTCTGGAGTAGCTAGGATGATGGAGCATGAGCTGCCGGCACCCAGCCTGAAGCTCGGATTTCACCTGTGGAGGAGAGGGATGTGGCGGAAGCCTAAAGCCGTCCTGGTGAAAAGCGCAGATGAGGGGCTAGGAAGGTGACTCTGTGGTACAGTGCTTGCTTTGCATGCATGAGGCCCTGGGTTTGATTCCTCAGCACCGCATAAGCAGAAAAATCCAGAAGTGGCGCTGTGGCTTTAGTGGTAGAGCGCTCGCCTTGAGCTGAAGAGCTGAGGGACAGTGCCCAGGCCCAGAGTTCAAGCCCCACAACCGACAAACAAACGAACAAAAAGGCCCATACATTGCTGTCTTGGAAAAAACAAGTCCTTGAGAGAATGAAGCCCCATAGGTGCAGAAGATCTGAATTTTTCCAGATGGAAAGTTCCAGAGGTAAATTGGGGATTCCACTGCTTCCCCCCCAGCCATAAGGATAGTGGAGTTTAGCTGGTACTGGTGGCTTGTGCCTGTAATCCCAGCCACTTGGGAGGCTGAGATCTGGGGATCCAGGGTTGAAGCTGGCCTGTACAAGAAAGTCCCTGTGATTCTCTCTCTCTCTTTTTTTTTGGGTCCAGCCTGAACTCTGGGCCTGGGAGCTGTCCCTCAGCTCTTCAGCTCAAGGCTAGCTCTCTACCACTTGAGCCACAGCGCCACTTCCGGCTTTTTTCTTTTTTGCTTATGCGGTGCTGAGGAATCAAACCCAGAGCCTCATGCATGCAAGGCAAGCACTCTACCACTGAGCCACCTTCCCAGCCCCAGTCCCTGTGATTCTTATCTCTAATTAACCACCCAAAAAAGCTGGAAATGGAGCTGTGGCCCCATAGAGTGCTCGAGCACAAAAGCTCAGGGACAGCATCTAGGCCCTGAGGACTGGTGGGCCACGTGTGCGTACACACACACACACACACACACACACACAAAGACACTGGAGTGTAAAGGGAGCTGTTTACCCCACACCTCACTAACCACTTCTCACATGTCATCTGTTCAAATCTCTTAAGATGATACCACTATAGGTGCCCACTCTCATACCCAGTACACAGCTGAGGAAACCAAGATTGGGGAGGTTGAGAAAGCGGCCCAAGGTCACAGGGATTAAGAGCAGCAGAATGGGGCCAGCTTGCAAATCCCCTACCTTCTACCATCTCTGCACCCTCCCCCCCAAGCCCTGAAGGAAGAGGGGCGGAGGAGGAAAGTTGCCTGTGAGCTGCCAGATGAGCTCTTGGAAATGGTGTGGGGGGAAGGTTTGGAGATCGAAATTAGGGGCAGGAAGGTGGGGGGGGGAGAAAAGCCAGAGTGAGGGTCCCCATGAGGCCGCTGGCAAGGGATCCCAAGGGGGTGAGGGTGATCTTATAGGAGTAGTGAAAAGACAAGTCTTCCAGCATCCCCGGCCCCCTTCCCTCCCTCCCTCCCTCCCTCCCCTCCTGAATTTTTTTTTTCTTGCTGCCAAATGAAATCTGGCAGCTTCTGAAAATAGCTCGGTGCTGCAGCAGGCACTCTGCCCGCCCTTCAGCGGGCTGGCACGCAGCTGGGGGCGGCCACCGTGGGCAGACGCTGGGCGCACGCGGAGCCAGCCGGGGGTGGGTGTCATACACATGCACGGCATGCAGGGGGCAGTGCGGAGCTGGGGGGGTATGTGGCTGCCCTGCGGTCCCTCAGCCCCTCTGACCTGTCGCCACTGAATAAGGCCACAGCAGCCCTGGAATTGTTTACCAGGTCAGAGGCACCCTCTGTAATCAGGGAGAAATTGCTAGTGGGGATAAGTGGCTGCCCCTTTGTCATCCCCCCCGCCACCCCAAGACAAAGAGAAGCCTGGGAATGGGAGGGAGGAAATGTCAAAAATGTGTTTATTAATAACTGTCTATAAAACCCAGCAGCATTGTCCTTGTCGACATGGTCAGAGTTTCCCAGCCAGAGAGAGTAAGAGAGAGAGGCCAAGAACTGGGAACTAGGCTGGGTGTCAGGCACTTGACAGGCCTCATATCAAACACTCAGTACCCTGAGGCTGTGCTGATTGGGACTGGGGAGGCCTAGATGGGCCAGAGAGGCCCCTCCCTGCCTCAACTCAGGCTGAAGCCAGGGCCAGACCTTCTAAGCATCAGCTCTGCTGGCCTCTGCCACCACAGATCTGACCTGGCCTATAAAGAAAAGCCCTTGTTAAGGAAGAGCCGAGCCGGGTGTGGTGGCTCACTCCTATAATCCTAGCTACTCAGGAGGCTGAGATCTGAGGATGGAGGTTCAAAGCCAGCTAGGGCAGGAAAGTCTGTGAGACTCTTATCTCCACTAAACCACTCAGAAAACCAGAAGTGGAAGTGGTACTGTGGCTCAAGTGGTAGAGCGCTGGCCTTGAGCTGAAGAGCTGAGGGACAGCGCCCAGGCCCAGAGTTCAAGCCCCAAGACTGACCAAAAAAAAAAAGAGGAGCCAATCATGCCCTCTCACAAAAAGACACCATAATACAGCCCTTCCTGCCTGAGATCTGGTGAGCACGTGAAGTGTGTGTGTGTGAGTGTGTGTGTGTGTGTCACAGTGACATTTTTCCAAAGTAGAAAATGGTTTTAAAAAAAAAAATACCCTCTACCTTCAGCTGCAAGATGCAAGAGCTACCCTTTGGGTATGGGACGGTAAAAGGATGGTTAGGACTCTTTAGGGGAGAGAGTACCGAGTACCATTTGGCCTGGGGCTGAACCGCTCAGGCTGGACAGGGCTGGACCCTGTGACCTCATGGAGGCTCAAGAAGCGGGGAGTGCGCCCTCAGTGGCCACTCCTTCTCTCCTCCCCCTCCCCTCCTTTGCTCACTGGGCATTCACAAACAGCCACGCCATCCTCAGTCACCATGACAACCAATGGCCAGATGCCTTTCTGGAGGCTGGGCCTGTCTGCCCACACCAGGGGAGGAGGTTTCCATAGAGGAGAGGCCCTGAGGCCCTGGTGGCCAAGAAGGCTCCAGAAGATGCGCTGGGGCAGGATCAGGGCTTGGCCAAAGGTGCTTTAACTGAGTCAGCCACTTCCCCTGGCCTGAGGCCTGGGACTCTGAAAGAGGTTTTTAGGTCAAAACAGTCTTCTTCCTCAAGTTCCAAGTGACAAATTAAAACAATTAAAAAAAAATCCATTTGATAAAAGAATGACCCTTGGCCTGCCCCGGCCAGAGAGCCTCAACAAATGGTCTGTTACCAGGCTGAGACATGGCTTGGGATGCTACTGGTTGTTGCAGCCCTGGGAAGCCGAGGAACTGCCCGCCTGCTTTTTTCTCCGCTTGTTGAGGAGCCGATTGTTGGAAGTCTTCAGGTCTTTGATCTTCACCTGGTCGTAGTCTACCCGCATGGTGGCTAAAGCACTGGTCATTTCCTCCTGAGGACACACAGCACAGGGAGGTGGAGAGGTCAGGCTCATACTGACTTCTAGAAGCCATCGCCCTCCTGCCCATGCGCACAGCCCCTTTGATCATGTCAGTCTTTTTTTCCTTTTTTTTTTGGTTGGTCCTGGAGCTTAAACTCTGGGCCTGGGCGCTGTCCCTCAGCTCTTCAGCTCAAGGCGAGCCCTCTACTACTTGAGCCACAGCACCACTTCCAGTTTTCTGGTGGATTATTGGGGAGAAGAGTCTCATGGACTTTCCTGCCCCGGCTGGCTTTGAACCATAATTCTCAGATCTCAGCCTCCTGAGTAGCTAGGATGATAGGTGTGAGCCACCAGCACCTGGCTTGATCCTGTCAGTCTTTAACAGACTGTGCTGTCACTGCATTCACTTTGTGTCACATGATCCTTGCTACGTTTTGTTTGTTTCCCTGTGTGCATTTGCAAGTCCTGGAGCTCGAACTTGGGTCCTGGGAGTACTGAAAGAGCTGAGGGCTAGGCGCTCTATGGCGAGCCACAGCTCCACTTCTGGCTTTTGGATGGTTAACTGGAGGTAAGAGTCTCAAGGGCTTTTCTGCCCAGGCTGGCCTGCAACCCTGATCCTCAGATCTCAGCCTCCCATATGGCCAGGATGACAGGTGTGAGTTACCGGTGCCCTGCCCTTCGTAGTTGTTTATGGTGGATTCTGAGCTTATGTTCTAGGGCAGAGGAAAGTAGTGACTGCCTGGGACCTCAGAAAGCATAAGTGGGACAGAGAAATGAACCGACGTTACTTGCCTAACTACAAAGTCTGTAGAAAATGCCATCTCATTGGGAACCTTGGAGATTGGGGCCTACAGACTGGCCTATGCATATAGGCTTTGAACTGATGTCCTATAGAGTCAAACTTGATCTTTACTGAGCCTAAAGCAAGGCTGTCATTCTCCTAAAAGCTATTGGTCATAAGAGAGATTAAAGCTTGGGTTGGAGTTAGGTGGTAGAGTGCTTCCCTAGAATTTATAAGACCCTGGGATAGATCATCTCTAGCACTCTAAAAAAAAAAAGCAAAAACTAGTGACACTGGGTGCCAGTGGTTCATGCCTGGAATCCTAGCTACTCAGGAGGCTGAGATCTGAAGATCAAGGTTCAAAGCCAGCCTGGGCAGGAAAGTCCACGAGACCCTTATCTTCAACCAACCACCAGAAAGCTGGAAGTGGAGCTATGGCTCAAGTGCTAAAGCTCTAGCTGTGAACAAAAAAGCTTAGGGACAGTGCCCCGGCCCTGAATTCAAGGCTTGGGACCTGTCAAAAAACTAAAAGCAAATCAGATGACTTCTCTGAGATGGCCAATACTTGAGCCCAAAACCTTTATACTGGTTTCCCATCCCAAAGTCTCTTCTATATTGAGTGAGCCAAGAGCACCACATAGAATTGGGGAGCAGAGCCCAATGCTCAGAGTGCCTCAGTTGGACCACTGAGGGAGTCACTGATACACCTAGAATCCCAGAAGCTGCAGGAAGATGGAGGTAGGGTCGACTTACCTTCACTTCATCCCAATGGTCTTTGTCTTCTTGTAGTACTCGGGCAGTGTGGAGAGGGGTCTGAGGTACCACTGTGGATTGCTAGAAGGAAAGTCAAGCCCCTGAGTTAGCTCCTGGGGACATGTGGAACAGTAGTGGCTAGCATCTACTTATGCTCTTCTCCCTTTCCCCTATTTTCCCAGTCTTTTTTTTTTTTTTGTCAGTGGTGGGGCTTGAACTCAGGGCCTGGGCGCTGTCCCTCAGCTCTTCAGCTCAAGGCGAGCGCCCTACCACTTGAGACATAGCACCACTTCAGGTTTTCTGGTGGTTTGTCAGAGATAAGAATCTCATAAGCCGGCTACCAGTGGCTCATGACTGTAATCTTAGTTACTCAGGAGGCTGAGATGTGAGGATCACGGTTCAAAGCCAGCCTGGGCAGGAAAGTCTGTGGAGACTCTTATATCCAATAAACCACAAGAAAACCAGAAGTGGCACTGTGGTTCAAGTAGTAGAGCATTAGCTTTGACTGAAGAGCTGAGGGACAGAACCCAAGCCTAGTGTTCAAGCCCCATGACCAACAAAAAAAGAAAGGGGGTGCTATCATACATTGCCATGCAAGAGCCCATTCCAGCCCAACACTCAGCCCTCCACAGCCGCTCCCCTCCTGCCTGGCATCTCTACTCCAGAATGACACCCACCTGCCATGAGGGAAAAGGTACTTACGTTGATCCAAGGGTGGTTCATGAATTGTGCAATGGTCAGCCTCTCTGTAGGGTCCGTCTTCAACAGTAGGCGGATCAGTTGTTTGGCTAGAGGAGACCAGGGAAGAGAGAGGCGGTGAGGTCGCGATCCCCCTCTTCTCCCCACATACCACAAGCTCCGTGAGGCTAGGCTACAGATACTCCCACATTGCTATTCTTTTTTTTTTTTGGGTCCGGCCATGGGGCCTGAACTCTGGGCCTGACCGCTGTCCCTCAGCTCTTCAGCTCAAGGCTAGTGCTCTACCACTTGAGCCCCAGTGCCACTTCCAGCTTTTTTCTTTTTGCTTATGTGGTACTGAGGAATCGAACCCAGAGCCTCAAGCATGCAAGGCAAGCGCTCTACCACTGAGCCACCTTCCCAGCCCCCCACATTGCTATTTCATGAGCTGACACAACAGTTTTCTTGTTCAAAGGTACTAAGTGTTCAGGATTTGTGAGCTAACACACGAGATAGAATCGCCTGCCATCTCCAGAAGAGGGAAACAAATATCAATGAAGAATTAAAAAAAAAAATTAGGGCTGGGAAGGTGGCTCAGTGGTAGAGTGCTTGCCTCACATGCATGAGGCTCTGGGTTCAATTTCTCAGCACCACATAAGCAGAAAAAGTGGCTCAAGTGGTAGAGTGCTCACCTTGAGCTGAAGAGCTGAGGGGCAGCACCCAGGCCCAGAGTTCAAGCCCCACAGCCAACAATAAACCAAAACAGAATGTAGCTTAGCAGTAGGGTGTTTGCCTCTCATGCATGAAGCCCTGGGTTGGAATCCTCAGTACCCACTTACATAGAAAAAGCCAGAAGTAGCATTGTGGCTCAAGTGGTAGAGTACTAGTCTTGAGCAAAAGAAGCTCAGGACAGTGCTCAGGCCCTAAGTTCAAGCCCCAGAACTGGCAATACATACATAAATAAATAACAGCCCGGGGGACCAGGTAGAAAGGTTGACTCACCATCTTCTGATACATCTGACCACTCAGGATTGGGGAAGCCATACTGGCCCAGGCGGATTCTCCTCTTCATCCCTGGAGAGATGGCCTGACCAGTATTGGAGTAGAAGGGTGGGAAGCCACACAAACTAGGGGGGAAGGAGGGAGTCATTTTGGCACAAGGGTTGGGGTCCGTGCTGGGGCAGACCCCTTCTCTACCTTAAGCCAAGGAGATAGGCAGGCAGGTACTGTAGCCATAACCCCAGCTCTCTGGCCTCCTGGGCATCTCGTCTGCCCTTAGCATGAGAGGACCCTCCAGTAACCTAAAGGGATGGTGGCCCTATGACCAGAGAGGGTGATACACACACAAAGCCCCTCACTGAGGACACAGAGGCAGGAAGCAGAAATGGAACTAAAAGTATACAATGGGAAGCCTGTGATCCTACCTACTCAGGAGGCTGAGATCTGAGGATCAAAGTTCCAGGAGGGAAAGTCTATGAGAACTTTATTTTTTTGGGTGGTCGTGGGTCCTGGGCGCTGTCCCTCAGCTCTTCAGCTCAAGGCTAGTGCTCTACCACTTGAGCCACAATATTATTTCCGGCATTTTTTTCTTTTTGCTTATGTGGTGCTGAGGAATCAAACCCAGGGCCTTATGCATGCAAGGCAAGCGCTCTACCTCTGAATCACCTGCCCAGCCCCTATGAGAACTCATCTCTAATGAACCGACCAGAAAATGGTGCCGTGGCTCAAAGTGGAAGATCTAGCCTTGAATGAAAGAGTTCTGGGACAGCGTGCCCAGGCCCTGAGTTCAAGCCCCATGACTGAGAAAAAAAATCAGCAGATTGTAGGATTGGGCCAAGAGGTCCAAGCCAAAGGCAGCCGTGGTACTTACAGGATGTACATGATGACACCCAGAGACCACATGTCACACGACTTGTCGTACTTCTCTGGACCCAAGACTTCAGGAGCTGTCAGGACAGAGGACAGGGATGGGTTCTGAACTCCGAGCTTCTAGGGAACCCAGGCAGAAAGCCTGAAAGCCCGGGCAAGGCGAGGAGCAGTCTGGGAGCGAGGGCAGAGTAGACTGGTGTCTGGCACCTTCTGGGAAGGCAGTATGTGTGTGAAACTCCAAGAGGAGAGACAGCTCGGAGGGCTGGGGAGGGGCGGGGAGGGAATAAACTGCTTTCAGACAGCCCTGTGGCTCCTTTTTAGGCCTTCCTAACAATCTCAACTTGGTGGGGAGGGGAAATGGCCAGTCTCTAGGGTTGGGTGAGTTCCTGTCCCCTTTCCCCCCAAAAAAAAAGCTTCAGCCAACTAGCTGCCTGGTGTCCCTTTTCCCTAAGCTCAACATGCAGCTTAGGTCACAGGTAAGGAGAAACTGTGTGTGTGCATGTGTGTGTGTATGTGTGTGTGTGGACTCTACACTCCATGGTCAGCTTAGCTACCGCCGTGCGTGCGTGCGTGCGTGCGTGCGTGTGTGTGTGTGAGTGTGTGTGTGTGTATACTCTACACTCCATGGTCAGCTTAACTACCGCCCGCAGGCCTCTGTCTTTGCATCTATGCAATGAGGTCAGCAGGACAGAAGCTCTCTTAAGTCAAAATACTGTGGACTGCGTGCCCTCGTGAGCAAGGCTCCATTTTGGCTCTCTGTGGGGACGTCCTGTCCGTCCCCACCCCCCTACCCCGCCCCGGGCCTGCCCTGGTGAAAGAGTCCATTGCTGATCCACTCTCTGATGCAGGACAGGGATACGATTGCGGGGGGGGGGGGGGCTTTCCTGACCCGGGAGCCACGTAGATGTGTCCACTCAGAGATCCCCACTCCCCACCCTGAGGCAGGTGACTGGGACCCCGCGTGTCCTTTTCATGTCGAGGAAAAGGCCTGCCCGCTTTCTGAATCCCAGAGAGAGAAAAAAAATAAAAAAACAGATAAAGACAACCACCGTCGGGCTCCATTCCGAGCCGACGGCAGCCTTTCATCAGGTATATATTTAGAGCTGCCGTGATGTCATTTTCACTCACAGGCCACAGCCGGAATTTTCCTGGATCTATTTTCAAAAGCAGAAGCTGAAGTTGGGGAGAATATTTTTGCAGCCTCCGGCCCCCCCCCACTCCACCCCACCCCATAACACCCGCCTCCACGCAGTGAGTTGCACCCCTCCCTTCCTCTCTGGGCTTTTAACTCTGTGCTTTCCACGGCCTGCCAGCTGGCACCCCTGCACCCCCACAGCGGTCTGTGTACCATACCCCAAAAACTCACCCACGTAATAGGGAGTATAGCAAGGCGTCTGAAGGGCGTTTTGAGTGGTCTCCTTTGCAAAGCCGAAGTCAGTGAGCTTCAGCACGGCGTTTTTCTCCTTGGATGTGTAGAGCAGGTTTTCGGGCTGAGCCAGGGGAGAAAAAGCATGGGTGTGGAGTTAGCTACCGGAGGAGATCGGGGATAAGAGTCCTCCCCTCTGTCCTGGTGCAGGTCAGCTCACTCCAGCTCCTAGACAACCCTGAGCCCTAGTGATCTAGAACATGAACCAGATAGAGAGAAGCCAAGGATGATGGGGAGGGGATGCTTTCATTCACAGGGGAAAATGAGGCAGGCTCTCAGCCAAGGCTGTGAATGGTCACTTCACATTCATAGAAAGCCCAGGGGTGGGAATCTTTTTGATCCTGTTGATCCTGAGTTGTCGAGGTCGCTGTCAATCAACCTGGATGAGGGTATAAGACCGACTGCCCCTGCCACCCCCTCTCCCCGCTCTCACCGGCCCAGAAGGAAACCTGCTGGGGCAGGTCCACCTGTGATCACCCTCCCCCCCCAGAGCTCAGACCTCAAGAACTGCACAGAGGCCAGCCATCCTTCCCCGGTACAAAGCACTGACAGACCGGGCAGGTTGGGGGGCAGGGAGAGCCGTGTGGAGGAAGGTGCTTTCTCATGACTGTGTAGGACCTAGGCCTGTGTCAAGTAGCAGAAGGCATTTCCCCAAGCACGGCTGAGGAAGAAGGGCAGAGTATTGGACAGAGTTCGCCTGCGGTGCCAGTAGGAGCTATTTTTTCCAGTTCTCTTTGAGACAATCCGACCTTGGATGGAGATAAACACAGGGAAGCAGTTTCAGAGAACACAGAGGCATCTGGTCTGCAGAAGGCGTTGCTCCCCTTAGGAAAAGAGAGAGGGGGGGAAGGAGGGAGGGGGAAGAGAGAGGGAGAGACAGAGGGAAGGACAGAGAGAGAGAACAGGAGAGAGAAGGAGAGAGAGAGGGGAAGAGAGAGGGAGAGGGGGGAAAGGGAAAGAGAGAGGGACAGAGGGAGAGAGGGGGAGAGAGGGAGAGGGAGAGAAGAGGGGGAGAGGGAGAGGAGAGAGGGAGAGATAAAGAGAGGGAGGGGGAGAGGAAGAGAGAAGCCAGAGCCAAATTATAACAAGGATTTAGCAGGTGGCTCTGTGGCGGTTCTGCACACATTCCGCATCAGTGGGTACCCAGGGGTTGGCGGAAGGTCCCAACACCGCAGCCGGGCTCCTCTGCTCTCCTCAGCAGCCCAGGAGATGGCTCAGGAGGATGGAAGCCAAGGTGATGATATTCCAGATTTGGGACCAAGGGCCAAAGAGGGACAAATTCGGCTCTGACTCGGAGCACGTGGGCAAATCCGATGAGTCTCCATGTGGCAGAGGCACAGACTCAGGTGAGCCACTTAATGTGTCTGTCTTAGCCTCCATTTGCTCGTCTGTAAAATGGGGGCCATCAACTCTTGTAGGGCTGGTGGGATTAAATGAGGTGGCTATCAGCACGAGTAGCTAGGGTCGATGCTTGGTTATTCTATTGGGATGACACGGTATTCCAGGGAAACAAGGTCATCTGATGAGATCAGAATCAGCATGCCCAACCACCGGAGGAAGGGCCGAGAGAGAGCAGTCTGGTTGAGAAGCTGAAGCTGACTGAGGAGTTTGGCCTCCATCCAGTGGGGACCAGGAGCCAACGAAGGCTGTGGGACAGACCCGTCTCTGTCCCCTAGATCGGGTCCCAGTGACTCACCTTGACATCTCGGTGAGCGATATTCTGGCTGTGTAGAAACTGGATGGCGGTGCCGATATCCCGCATTATCTCTGCGGCCTCTGTAGACAGGAGGCGGGGCACACGTCACAAATACCAAAGATCTGATGACTTGGGACATCCCCCCACCGCATATCACTGCTCCTCGATAGGATCTGGCAGGCCAGCAGGAGATGATCATGGTAGTCCTGTGGCCCGTGGCCCCCTATCCTAAATAACCCCCCCTTTTTTTTTGGTCAGTTGTGGGACTTGAACTCTGGGCCTGGGCGCTGTCCCTCAGCTCTTCAGCTCAAGGCAAGCTCTCTACCACTGGAGCCACAGCACCACTTCTGGTTTTCTGGTGGTTCATAAGAGTCTCATGGACTTTCCTTCCCCGGGCTGGCATTGAGCCGCAATCCTCAGATCTCAGCCTCCTGAGTAGCTAGGATAATAGGCATGAGCCACCAGTGTCCTTAAGACTCTTATCTCCAATGAACCACCAGAAAACCGGAAGTGTCGCTGTGGCTCAAATGGTAGAATGCTTACCTTGAGCTGAATTGCTGAGGGACAGCGCCCAGGGCCAGAGTTCAAGCCTCACAGCTGGCAAAAAATAAAAACAAAAAAACAAAACAAAAAAAAAAGCCCAAGTATTCACCTGGGCTGGATTTGAACCTTGATCCTCAGATCTCAGCCTCCTGAGTAGCTAGGATTACAGGCGTGAGCCACTAGTGCCTGGTTCCATTTTTTTTCTCCCTAGGGATGCTTCTAACACATCTGAACTTCTTTCCTCATGCCTAGACAGCTTCTTTCCAACTCCCCTGTGGGTCAGCACCCAGAGGCTCCGATTCCTCCATGCCAGAACTAGAGAGTCCATTTCCAACCAGATGTCATGGACATAGGGGACAAAATGCCCCACCCTCTCATTCTTTTTTGGTTTTGATGTATGTGTGTAGATGTGTGCCAATACTAGGGTTAGAACTCAGAGCCTGGACATTGTTCCTTCGTTTTATTGTTCAACAATAGTGTTTTAGGGGCTGGGAAGGTGGCTCGGTGGTAGAGCGCTTGTATTGCATGCCTGAGGCCCTGGGTTCGATTCCTCAGCACCACATAAGCAGAAAAAAAAGCCAGAAGTGGCTCTGTGGCTTAAGTGGTAGAGCGCTAGCCTTGAGCTGAAGAGCTGAGGGACAGCGCCCAGGCCCAGAGTTCAAGCCCCATGACCGACCAAAAAAAACAAAAACAAAGCAAAGACTAGTGCTTTACCACTTGGGCCCACAACTGCACTTCCAGAGATAAGTGTCTCACTGACTTTTCTTGTGCAGGCTGGCTCTGAACCTTGAGCCTTGGATCTCAGTCTCCTGAGTAGCTAGAATGACAGGCGTGAGCCACTTGCCCCCTCTTATTCTGATGGTAAGACAGACTCAGGAGAGGAGCAAGTCCTCATCCCACGGCATAGACGGCCCCACGGTCCAGCTCCCTGCGCGTCATATACCTCTCTCGGTGAAAGCCTGGTCTCCACGCTCCTGAATCCTGCTGAACAGCTCCCCGCCTTCCATGCTGCAAGAGAAGGGAAGAGAGGGTGAATCAGTCGTTTCCCCCTTTTCCTGCCCTGGACTGGAGGCTCACGCTCTTCCCCTGGTATTGAGCAGCCGCTGTCAGCTGTGGCCTGTGGTGTTGAGTTGGGTGGGTGGATCTAATCTGTCAGAACTCCAGAGAAATGGTTCTCAGAAGTGCTTGTCCTATCGGATCGTGACTCCTCGAGCAGTCCCATACCCACCCGAGCCTCAGTTTCTCCAGATGCAAAAGGAGATCGTCATCTATCATCTTCACAACCCAGTGTCAGGAGTGTCTACTGTGTGCTGTGCTCTGGGCTTTACCTTTTAGGTATGCCACTGTGTGATCCTGAGACGGACCCTTTGCCTCTCAGTGTCTCGGCTATGTTTTTGTTTTCTTGTTCCCTATAGTCCTGGGGCTTGAACTCAGGGCCTGCGCACTGTCCCTGAGTTTTTTTTTTTTGCTCAAGGCTAGTGCTCTATCACTTTGAACCATAGCTTCACGTCCAGTTTTCAAGTGGTTCATCAGAGATGAGAGTCTCATGGACTTTCCCAAGTGGGTTGGCCTCAAACCACAATCCTCAGATCTCAGCCTCCTGAGCAGCTGGGATGACAGGTGTGAACCCCAGGCACCCAGCCATCCTTGTTATAAAAGAACAGCACCGATCTCAGGAGAGTCATGCAAATGGAACATAAGATGCCCCTGGCACACTCTGAATGGAATCAAGCTTGGCCTGAGTGCTGCGTGAAGGTCAACCCCCATGTTTGACAGAAGAGTTGCAGAGATCCAGAAAAGTTAGCAAGAAGCCCATTTCTACGGCTAGTGGGTGGCAAAGCCAAGGATCTAGAATCCTACCTCTGAAGAGCTGGTGAACCACTGGAGGGAGGAGGGACTTCAAAGGCAGATGGGAGACAGGGAGGGGATGCCCAGGGTCTGAGGTAGGCCGAGGTCACAGGACGAGCAGTAGACGCCCAGAGCTCCAGACCCATCACATACGATCATTGGTGGGACCACACGTGCACAGACCCCACCGGAAGGAGACAGCCGGAGGGACTGCATGTGTCCCCGCTTCCCCACCCCCCCATCTCCACGTCCATACACAGATGGGGCTGGGCGACCTTCTCATGGAGTGGAGATCCCACACAGGAGCTGTGGTGTCTCTTCCCTGCCTTTCACAAAGCCCCCTTGGCAGCCCAGCCCCACAAACGGGACCCATGACCACCCATCCAACCACCCTTCAGGAGCCATGATGGCTACTATGCCAAGAAGACAGTGAGCCCTGGGACAATGTTGGGGGGACTGGGGTGGGGAGGGAACACCCATGGTGGGGGGCCCCACGAAGCAGTGGGGCGTGCTGCATACCATTCCATGACGATGAGGAGACAGCGTCTGCCGCGATGCATGTTCTCGTACACGTCCAGGATGCGCACGACGTGGGGCCCGCCTGAAGCCTGCCAGTGGTGCTCCACCTCCTGCCGGGCCTTGGGGCTGTCATACAGGAGCTGTAGGCAGTGGGCACGGAGAAGGTAAGCCTCACAGCCTCCCTGTCCTTGCTTGGTAGACAAGGGCAGAGTCACAGAGACCCGTGATTTGCCAGCACCGCATGGCTCTTCTTTTAAAAATCATTTTACAAGCCTGGCCCTCGTGGCTCACACCTGTCATCCTAGTTACTCAGGAGGCTAAGATCTGAGGATCAAGGTTCAAAGCCAGCCTGGGCAGGAAAGTCCGGGAGACTCTTATCTCCAATGAACCGCCAGGGAATGGAAAGTGGAGCTGAAGCTCAAGTGGTAGAGCGCTTGCTTTGAGCTGACAGCTCTTAGGCCCAGAGTTCAAACCCCACCATTGATCAAAGGGGGAAGAAGTAATTTTACTACTATTTTCTTGTCCATGTGGCTCCGAAGAATCGAACCCAGGGCCTCATGTGTGCAAGGTGGGCATTCTGACTGCTAAGCCACATTCCCAGCCCTGAGCAACAAGGCTTTGGTGGGGTTAGAATGAGGGTAGAAATCTGGGTTTCCTTTGGTGGCGCTGAGCCTCTGGACTTGAAAGTCAACCCTAGTGCTAGTGGCTTCCACGGGGCCTCAGGAGGAGGCTGGCAAGCCGGAGGGACCAGAGGCCAGAGAAGTCCCTCCTTCCCTTCTCAGGGGTGATGAATCAAATGGAACACAAGAAGGTTTTCTATTTCAATCTCCTCAGCCACAGTATCCTAGGCCAGAGGCCACATCGCTTTTGAATCTCCTTTTTCCCCAGGAGAACAACACACCAGGCACTTGTGGCTCACACCTGTGATCCTAGCTACTCAGGAGGCTGAGATCTGAGGACTGTAGTTTGAAGCCAGCATGGACAGGGAAGTCCGTGAGACTTATCTCCAATGAACCACCAAAAAGCCATAAGTGGAGCTGTGGATTGAGTGATTAAATGCTATCCTTGAGCAAAAAAAAAAAAAAAAGCTCAGGGACAGCACCTAGGCCCTGAGTTCAAGCCCTAGGATCATCACAAAGCGTAGAAAGAGAGAAGAAAAGAGAGAGACCGAGTGGCCCCACTTCCTAAGCCAGGATAGGGACTGTGTGTGCAGATAGTACCTGGTAGATGCTAGGTCCACAGGGACCCCCCTGTGCTCCCCCTCCCCACCCAGCTCCCCTATGTGAAAGGAGAGGTGCTGGAGGAAGGCTGGGGGAAAGGGATGCAGAGATGTAAATCTGTCCATAGGCCAGGAGGTGGATGGAGCTCAAGGAAGGGGTGAGGCCCACATCCACAAAGCTATCTAGCATCCAACCACAGGGGGAAGAAGACAAGGCCATGATCCTGCAGGAGTAAAGCTAATTAAGATTCCAAATTCCCCACCAGTGGGTGCAGGAGGAAAACTCACTACCAAAATATTAAAAAAAAAAAAAAGTGTTCTTAAAAAATGAATCCTTTGGGACTGGGAAGATGGCTCAGTGGTAGAGTGCATGCAAGGGTTCGATTCCTCAGCACCACATAAGCAGAAAAAGCCAGAAGTGGTACTGTGGCTCAAGTGGTAGAATGCTAGCCTTGAGCTGAAGAGCTGAGGGACAGCGCCCAGGTCCAGAGTTCAAGCCCCACCACCAAACAAAAAACAAAAAGAGTCCTTTGCCTGGTGCCTGTGGCTCATGCCTGTCATCCTAGCTACTCAGGAGGCTGAGATGGCAGTTCAAAGCCAGCCTTATCTCCAATGAACCACCAGAAAACAGGAAGTGGCACAGTGGCTTAAGTGGTAGAGCGCTAGCTTTGAGCTGAAGAGCTCAGGGACAGCACCCAGGCCCAGAGTTCAAGCCCCACGACCAAAAAACAAAAAAGGTCTCATGGGCTTTCCTGTCTGGGCTGGCTTTGACCTCAATCCTCAGATCTCAGCCTCTTAAGTAGCTAGGGTGACAGGTGTAATTCTTATCCAGGGGTGTTCAGCCTGGCTGTCCTCTCTGACCCTTCCCAGCCTGTAGATGCATAATCCTCCAGATAAACATCACTTCCATCTCAGCGTCCAGGCTTGCCTTTTCCGCCTCCCCTGTGTTCTGCTACCCCTGGCCCCAAACACCATCTGTTCTAACCAGAAGGATATACTCACTCTTCCCAAATAGGCGCCCCCTTGAGTCTCCCACCTCTGCCTGCGGGGCGCTGCCATATGAATTTTGGCAGTTTTCACTAGGGTGACAGCCTGGGGTTTTTGTTGTTTTGCCAGTCATGAGACTTGAACTCAGGGCCAGGTGAGTTCTTTTTGCTCAAGGCTAGTGTTCTACCGCTTTGAGCCACAGCGCCTCTTCCAGTTTTTGAGTGGTTCATTGGAGAGGACTTTCCCACCCGTACTGGCTTCAAACCATGATCCTCAGATCTCAACCTCCTGAGCAGCTAGGATGACAGGGAGCCACTGGTGCCCAGCTCCTTCCTCTCTCTTTTTTTTTGGTTGGTCGTGGGGCCTGAATTCTGCCCCTGGTCATTGTCCCTCAACTCTTCAGCTTAAGGCTAGCGCTCTACCACTTGAGCCACAGAGCCATACAGCTTTTTTGTTTTCTGCTTATGTGGTGCTGAGGAATCAAACCCAGGGCCTCATGCATGCAAGGCAAGCAGTCTACCACTGAGCCACCTTCCCAGCCCCTACCTTCCTCTTCTATAGCTAGAGCCACCTTCTTCTTCTTCAGGAAACCTCTGTGAACATCACCTCCACTCAGAAGCCCTCCTGGACCACTAAAAAGGACACTGAGTTTCCCTTACTCTCCCCCTATGGTTTGTTTTTCTCTCTATTTGTATAAATTGAAGTATAATTTACATCCAGGCAAATGCCCAGGCCTCATGGGTCCAGTTCAATGAGCTTTGATGGCTGCAAACTCTGTGGGGGACCCACACCCCCATAAAGATGGGAACCATGGCCAGCTCCACGGACAGCTCCCATGTTGTTACCCTTTTCTTATCTCCCATGCAGCACTTGCTCACAACCTACAATTAGCTTGTTCCCTTGATAACTCTTTAAACACACACACACACACACACACACACACACACACACACACACACACACACAGATATTGCATTTTTGATGTCCGAGGCTCTGTTTCAGAGTATGTTATGAATATTCGGAGACTTTTCATTACTGTTTTTAGAGAAGAAACAGGCACCAAGAGGGGGGCAGTGGGGAAATTAATTAGTCCCTATTTGCATGGCTTCTCCCCCACCCCAAGCCAACATTCTGCCATCTCCTTACGAAACTGTGGACCCAGTCAGTGGCCATTCTGTCCGGTCATCTGGGTTCAATTCCTGGGGTACGGGTTCTGACCCCAGTACTGACTCCTCATATTTGTAGATTGTATGAACATGTCTATATCGTAGAGGGAAAAACTCCCCCAGTGCATCGTAGAATAAGATTAATCCAGGGGCTGGGAAGTTGGCTCAGTGGTAGAGTGCTTGCCTTGCATGCATGAGGCCCTGGGTTTGATTCCTCAGCACCACAGAAGCAGAAAAAGCCGGAAGTGGTGTTGTGGCTCATGTGGTAGAGTGCTAGCCTTGAGCTGAAGAGCTGAGGGACAGCGCCCAGGCCCAGAGTTCAGGTCCCACAACCGACAACAACAACAAAAAGATTAAATCCAGAAGAAGCCACACTTGACACACATGGAAACACGACACCCCAGCAACCTCATACCCCAGGGTCCATTGGTCTCATTCACACAGATGCATGACCCCAGCCCTGTGCTCTTCTGTGTGTGTGTCGGGGGTGGGGGTGGGTGTTAAGTTCTCACGTGGTGGGAGGGCCAGGCTCTACTCCTATCCTCTCTGGGCTTCTGTTTCTCCAGGGAGAAGAAGCTTCAGGGCTCATGGTAGATGGTGGGAAGAAAGGCGACAAAAGAGGTCTGGGGTTAAGAGGCTCCCTGCAAAGTATCTGTCTCCCACATCCATAACCGTACCCCTAGAGAGAAACCCGAAAGGTCTCCAGATACGCACACAGAGACTGAGGCAGAAGTCTGGCATTCTCCTGAGGAAAGAGGCTATGGGATAGAAACATGAAGTTCGAACCCCACTGGAGCTCATGGAGCTTTGGATCTGAGGCGACATGGACCTTGAACCAAGGACATGTGTGTCTGCATGTGTGTGTGTGTGTGTGTGTGTGTGTGTGTGGTTACCACCTTCCCTCCTCCCTTCATCCTCTGCCAAATTCTCTCATCTGTCCCTCCAAGTTGGCAGCCAGACGCTGAAGACTTCTGGTCACCTTACCAGTGAACTCCAGCTCCAGTGGAGAGCGGTGGGACCCAAGACCCACACAAGACACCTGCTTGTACCCCTCTGGCCTCACCAAGTGGAATGGAGGTGGGGGGCAGGGGTGGGCACCCCTCAATCCCTTCCCATCCAAGGAAAGACCTGAGTGACAGTGGATTGAATTCTTCAGATCTAGATCGGGGAATAACGACCGGCAGCATTTACCTATTTGGAAAATGACCTGCGGTTTACAAAATACCCTGTGGTGGTTTTATCTCGTGGGAATGTTCGGTGCCACCCTGTGAGGTGAGCAGGGTGGGGACTGTCAGCCCCAATTTGCAGATCGAGGAAACAGAGGCCCAGGAGGATGAAGTCATCGCCTGGCAGGTCCCCCACTGCTGTGTGGGGAGTCTAGGAGAAGGAGAACTGGACTTTTCAGAGAGACTCTAGATAACCCCTCCCCGAGGAAGAAAAGGAGGTGGGAGTAGCCCCAGAGCTCATGCAAGACTTGTGAAACTCGTTTTTGCACCAATGTGTAGGGCTGGGAATGTGGCTTAGTGGTAGAGTGCTTGCCTAACTTGTACAAATTCATGCCCTGGGTTCGATTCCTCAGTACCACGCAAACAGAAAAGGCCAGAAGTGCTGCTGTGGCACAAGTAATAGAGCGTTAGCCTTGAGTAAAAGAAGCTCAGGGATAGTGCCCAGGCCCCTGAGTTCAAGCCCCAGGACTGGCAAGAAAAAAAAAAGTGTGAATAGACATAAATACATAGTAGATTGGGGTATGGGTGAGTGTGTGTGTGTG